AATGGAGAGCATATGGATTTGATTCGTCTGTTTTGAAGATTAAAGATCAATGGGCAGGGAGAAATCTTTGGTTCCAGCAGTTAACTCATTCTGTAAGATCAGTGAGGAATCTTGAGGGTCCATGTCTGTTGAGAATTCCAGCACCAGAGACGTGGGGTTCCATTTTAGAGACGGTCGCTCAACCACTATCAAGTGTGTGCCAGTCCTATGCGTTGAGATGGCTGTTGTATCAGCAACGAGCATTGACAGATAAAGGAATGTCGTTGTCACAACATTTGTTTAAGCCTAGGTATAAGTGTTCTTGGTTAAATGAATTACCCTATGTGAATTTGTTGGATGGTAAAGAAAGTCAGGTAACAGCGAACCCTGAAGCATTTGAGGTGAAAGCAGTGAGGGCTAAAAGTTGTTTTTGTTCTAATAAAACAGATGATGTAAAGGGTATGTTCATGGGAATATCAGATTGTGATGATTATATGATGACTTTGGATAAGCACGAACATAAGGTTAGAGAGGACAAATATAATGTAACTTTTTATGTACCAGGTAGTAAGAAGAGCAGGACTTTGATGGTGAAAGATCAGCTTTTGCCTGTCAATGTAACTATTGGGAATTTTAGAGATATTTGGTGGGTTTGTGGTGATAAAGCATATATATTCTTACCCTATGGATGGACAGGATGTTGTTACATGTCGACGTTGAAGCTTCCATATGAGGTTTTTACCATTAAAAGAGGGGTAGCACCGAACACAGATCAATCTGAAACTAGAGTTGAAAATAGGGTGAAAAGAGACATGGCTACATTTAATAATCTTGAAGCCTACCATTGGAGAATAAGTCTGGGAGAGAAGTGGGGACTCGGTCTTTTTCCATGGTATGGTGTAACATTTTTGGCAGATCATATTGATAATATTACATATACGTTGCAGGGGTTTGCGAATGAAACAATAAGAGGGTTTAACCTTCTGTAAAATACTCAAAGAAGTCACAGACTGACGCTGTTGAAACATGACATGGCTCTTGATTATATTTTAGCAAAACAAGGTGGCTTATGTTTGACTATGAATCTGACGGGGGATGATTGTTATACTTTGATCCCAGATAGTTCCGATAATATCACGAGTGTTATAGATGCGTTGAAGAATATAAGGGATGCATTTGGTAGATCTGAAGGAGCTGGATGGTCAGCGAAGTCTTGGTTGCAAGATCAGTTAGGCCCAATAGGAGCAGTGATGGTTCAGATTTTAGTTGCAGCTCTGATAGCGTTGTGTGTGATGTTTTGCTTTTGTACTTTGTTACTGACCTTTGCGAAAGCTATGATATTAAGATGGGTTGGTGTTGTGATGCCTGGAGACAACACTCAGATGCCGTTGTTGACTGTTCCTGATCTGGATGAAGATGGACAAGGGGGTCTGGATGGAGTACTAATGGATAAATATCCTTTTTGATTATTTGATCATTTTTCATTTTTTTTTTTTTCAATATTAGTGTGATTTTTAGTATGATTTTATGAATCAAAGGGGGGGAAGAGGATAATGTGATTCATACATCATTTATATATCATTTTTATATTCTTAGTTGATATTGATGTTCATACATCATTTATATATCATTTATATTCTTAGTTGATATTGATGTTTAATTTGAAAGGGTTGTTTTGCAAAAAGATACTGTTTGGTCTTTTCTTTTCTTCCAGAAGCATTTGGGGGAATATGTGGAGATTGAAATACTCAAACAAGGACAATATGAAGGGACAATATGAAAGGACAATGACTGGAGGAGATGGAACCAGAAAGGGGTGGAAAGATTCCCATTCCATCATCAACAATCCATTGGAAGTCGAGACTACGGGGAGATGAAGTGTAGTGGACTACATTCCAGTGTCTGCAATGAAATATTTCATGTGTAATACATAATTTGTGTCATACTCTTACGTATTAATTTTTGTAGAATGATATTTGATGTTATTGAATACATGTGGGGATCTTAGATGTTTTTGTTTATTTCGTTGATGCTTAGGGACAGGGAGTCTAGGCAGGGAGAGGTCCACTGTAGGGTCCAATGGGTTGACCAGCCTGAGAGTGGACATTTTTGGATAGTATTTTGTTTGCAGGGGCTTACATGTGTATTTAATTGCATCATAGTTTCAAATGCATTTACATGGTTTATGAGTTTATCTGGAGTATCTAGGTGGTTGCCTGGGGCAGAGGGACCGTGAGAGAATTTTACTGTCTTGATTGATGGATGGATGGATTTGGAACGAAGGTTGCCGGACAGTTTTTCGCTCTCACACTCCATAAAGATTTGTTCATATTTCATAGTAATGTATTCACACTTCATAAACAGTTATTCATATTTCATAGAAAGGTATATACACTCTAGAGAAGAATGTTTTTTGGTTTAAGGTTAAAAATACTCAATAAGATAAATTGTCACTTGTCATAATCCTATTCTGTTTGTTTTCGAGACTGTTTAGTCTCGAAGGGGGAATATCGTATATGAAGATTATGACGTTGTTAATGTTTTAAGTGGAACCGGAGAGGACGTTGATTTTAGTATCAAGAGGGAATGTTTTAGTGTAACGCCACATACAACAGACAGGAAGTGTGTTGTAGACAGGGGATTGGACAGTAGAGGGAGCCACCCACATCTTGGGGAGATTATATATACTGGGGGAAAAACGAAGGAGGGGTCAGAAGCATTCAGATTAATTTGGGAAGGTGCTTCTCCGGACACCGCGGGTCTGTAACTTATGCTGTAAACGTGTGATATTAATAAAAGCCTCTAATCACGGTGCAGCCTAAGTGGACTCTTTGTTGACAGCAATAACCACCAGCATTCGACGCGATACCACACATGTTTTGCAGAGGGGTCAAATACTTATTTCCCTCATTAAAATGCAAATCAATTTATAACATTTTCGACATGCGTTTTTCTGGATTTTTTTGTTGTTATTCTGTCTCTCACTGTTCAAATAAACCTACCATTAAAATTATAGACTGATCATGTCTTTGTCAGTGGGCAAACGTACAAATTCAGCAGGGGATCAAATACATTTTTCCCTCACTGTATAGAAATTCATATACAAATATTGAAAGCACTTCATGATTCAACTAAATGTGTCCACCATGAAAATATTGTCCCATTTACATTGTGTAATTTATTGACGGCCCATAATTAGCACCAGAGATTACACTATCCAATTTCAAACCAATTTTGCCACAGCCGCACAACAGCCGGCTGAAGCTAATTGGCGAAAGAAGTTGGCTAGCACTAGCTAGCCTAGACGACTTCAAGACACAAGAACTGGATAGACTGTTTCTAGTTATCTAAAAGGTTGAGTGACTGTACTGTTTTGGCAGAGTGAATGTACAAACTCTTGCCACATGTGAATACACACAGAAGAGACACCCACATTAAACCACCCCTCCAAGACAACCCACGTTTGGCTTCAGTCATGGCCACTGCACTTATTAAAGACCAAGCAGAAAAACAAGGCCAAATCAGGAAGTAATGATGACCCTGTAATTAGCGCCAATGACTGCCCTTTATCTACTTCACCAGAGTCGGATGAACAGGAACAGCTGGCATGCTTACTGTTCCTGTAGACTTCTAGTCTAGACTTCTGTAGACGCTAGTTAGCATTGGCTCATGAAACAACCTCTAACTTCCTTCATACTGGATGCAGAGACATAAAGATTGTATCCACAATGATATTCTGTTGTAGCTAGCGATATTCATAAAATCATTATTTTTCACTTAAAAAATCCCACTAAATATTTAACAGTTTGAAGCTAATTGTTGTTTATAGCCGGCAATCAGTAGATCCTTGACAGGCAGACCAAGTGTAATGTGTAAACCCATGTTTCTCATGAACAATCAATTATTGAACTAAAGATGGTGTTGACAAAAACCTTCACTGGTGAAAAATTTACCACATTATAGGTAATGTATCCAGGGGAGTGTGAATGGTTAATCATAACACTTTGCCTGAATCGTAAAAGTGTCATGTTACTCTAGGTATACCTTCATGGCACTGTAGAAGAATTCCTAAGACAGATACGGAGGGTGTTTCCCAAATGGTACCCTATTCCCTATAGGGCTCTGGTCAAAAGTAGTGCACTATGTAGAGGATAGAATGACATTTGGGACATACACTTACACTCATATAAAAGGTATTAACTATTAACAACCAGAAGAGAGGTGCTATCTTCCTTGACCTCTCTGTGACCTGTGGCGGAGCGTAAGTCTGAAGGTGTCAGCTCCCCTGGTTGCGAAAAGTAGTAAAAATATGTTCATAGTTTCTACATTTTACATTTTAGTCATTTAGCAGACGCTCTTATCCAGAGCGACTTACAGTTAGTGAGTGTATACATTATTCATACTGTTCTACAAACTTCCTAAGCGTGGTTTGTTAACTAGGATATATTGTTTCATTAATTAATGTCAAATATATTCCTGTGTCTGGCCAAATACCCCTTACACCCTAACATGGACACAAATAAACAAGTATAAGGAAATGATAGCCAGGGGTTGCTACTTGAACTGAAAAGCTACAAGCAAGGCAAACAGAAAGGTGGCATATATACTGTACAGCAGGCCCACTGGGTAAACAGAAGCAGACTGGGTCTGTGTGTTTATATTCATGACATCTGCCTCCCTCTCACACTATCAAACCTCTTCCACTTCTCTGAGGCTTGGACAAACAGTACCTAGTGCTTTCACTGCTGCGCACACATTACTGTTGCTGTATTATTATCTCTCTGGGCAGGCTAACTGCACTGCTGGGGATGACTGTTATGGGGCTGTTCACTTTTTTAAAAGGTGGGCAGGGAGCTAGCAGCTGTGTCATAGTTTAACCATTAAACCATAGTGGCCACCCCCTGTTTGATTCCAGTTCAGTTGTTGACTTCGTTCTCCTCATTTAATGTCTGACCACTGGGACTTTGACTGAGCCAGCAGCACAGCAGATTCTGTCTTAGTTGTGTTCTTATCCATAGAGGATGTTGGTGAGAATCCTGGTTCTGCTCTACCTGGCGGGGGCACCTGCCCTAGCACAAACCCTCTGCCAGCCTAGTGAGTTACTTGGATTGGTCTAAAGAGGACGCTTATGTCCTCACCATTTCTACTTGTTTTCATGGATTTGTGTTTGGTTGGGTGTCATTCTTTAGTTTATATTAGTGTTACAAATTGTACAGTTACAACTTCTTATTGTGATTTAAATGGTATTTGATGTTGTTCTGTTGTTTTTGCATTGTCATGTACGTACATAGAGGTTTCTAGTTCAACAGTGAATGTTTGAGTGGACACACAGTAAATACTGTATGGTTGTCCAGATAGTTCTTTATCAGGACGGTATGAAGAACACTTTGTGAGGGGTGTTCTATTTACTGTTGGTTTCATTGTTGTCCTGTTTCTTTTTTAATTTTACTATTTGTATCTATCAACCCATGTGATTCAAGCCCACATGTTTGTGACCTCTAAAAAAAAATGTGTTTTCTTGTACTCTCAATGTTTCATGATGAATCCAAAGATTATTCAAATGTGTTTGAGATGGGTGAGAGAATCACTCATCAAGATAACTCTTATTCTCTCTGTAGATGCATCAAATGGCTACATGGTGCGAATCAGCATAAAAACAGCTTTGGGAAATCAGGCTGTACGTACTATGCTTACAAGCATTCTCTCATATCATGGGTCCTATATGAAAAGTTTTAAATACAACATTTAGAACTACATTGTTCTTGGTAATGACATTTCTTTATTTTGTCTGCAGTATGAATGGAATGAAAATGAAATGTTCCTTTTCCGAGCAACTATGGCCTTTGCCATGAGGAGGTACTATGAAACGAAAACTTACAAGTAAGAAAATCTTGTGCCATTTATTTAAACTGAATTCAAAGCACAGTATAGTACAGTATAATGTTTTTTCACTTCCTGCAAAGGTTCATTTCCAGCATTCCTGTGTGCATATTTTATGACTGTCTTCCTAGTGTATTGTGTAATAATGACAACATGGCATTTATGGCATTATGATGTTTATGGGACTTTTCCAGTGTCGACAACATTATCGTGTGTGATCAGACTCCGAGGGTGTCCTTCTGGTTTGTGGTGACATCACCAGACAACGCCGCCATGCTTACTCCTAAGGCAGATGTGGAGAAAGCTGTGAGGTAATGTTGTGGTCTACTTTAAAAGGAAAATATCCTGGTTTACACCTGTAGATGAACTGAACTCTGAAGTAAAAAGGTGAACATAAACAGCCACCTGAGTATCTGATGGATAAAACAGAAAATATATATTATGCTTACAATCTGAACCACAAGGCAAGTGGTATTTACACAGATTCAGAGACCTGTAAAAGGTGAGATGTACAAACTGGACCTAAAGTAACCCATTCTATGTCCAACAGCATGTCAAGGAATCGCATCAACAACGCCTTCCTCCTGACAGATAGGACCCTGGAATTTCTGGGCATCGACCCCACGCTGGTGGAGCCAGTCAACCCTAACACCCCTCCCTGGCTCATCGTGTTCGGAGTGGTCATAGGGGCTGTGTGTGCTGGAATCATCGTCATGCTCGTATCCTCTCTGCTTCAAAAGAGACGGTGAGTCCACCACTTCAGTCTCTCTGTTGATAATGATGTGTTTGGTTATTGAACTATGGGTCATTCTAACCTAGGAAAGAGAAAGGGATTGTGGAGGATGGACAGGATGAAGAGGACAGGCAGATGAAAGGAGTGGAGAATGGCAACATCCTGGATGGCAGCTACAATAGAGGATTCACAGATGATGATCGCTTCACAAAGCTGTAAAGGCTTCCCCTGTAAAATGCTGCCAAGCAAGCACAGGATGGGCTAAGAGACGTGAAAAACCACTACAAAGAGACTTTTATGCACTGTGTCTACAGTTTAAAACTGCAGCAGCTATGAGATTTCATAAAAACAGACTCTATCCACTAGTTAAATACTGTGAGCTCCAAAAGTATTGGGACAGTGACAAATCTTTTGTTGTTTTGGCTCTGTACTCCAGCACTTTGGAGTCACTTTTATTGTAAATAAGAATAGAATATATTTCTAAACACTTCTACATTAATGTGGATGCTATCATTTCTATTGGGTACAAAATAATCTGAAACACATCCAAACAAAACAGCAAATGCATCCAACAAGTTTGTAAACTCACAATCTTAAAAATATGCCATTTAGCTGACGCTTTTATCCAAAGCGACTTACAGTCGTGCGTGCATACATTTTTTTTTTTGTGTATGGGTGGTCCCGGGGTTCGAACCCACTACCTTGGCGTTACAAGCGCCGTGCTCTACCAGCTGAGCTACAGAGGACCACAATCTTGATGTAATCATTGCGTGCTAGGAATATGGGACCAAATACTAAACTTTGGACTACTTTTAATAATACACATACGTATAAGTGAATTTGTCCCAATACTTTTGGTCCCCGAAATGGGGGGGACTATGTACAAAAAGTGCTGTAATTTCTAAATGGATCACTCGATATGATGAAAATACCCTCAAATTAAAGCTGACAGGCTGCACTTTAACCTCATAGTCCTTGTATCATTTCAAATCCAAAGTGCTGGAGTAAAGAGCCAAACAACCACAAATGTGTCACTGTCCCAATACCTTTGGAATTCACTGTAAGTAAAAAGAACAGCTTTTGGGGTAGGGTATAGCAAACAAACCTTTCAGTTCTGTTTTATCCATTGCTTTAGTTAAGCATTTCTGCAAACCGAGTACGTGGCATCTGGTCAACAAATTTAATGTATATTTCAAATGGTCAAATAATAGAATCCCTTAATAAACAGTGATCTTGTTCACTTATAAATCATGAGTACTTCTTCTCAATCAAAAATCTGAAAATAATACAAATGTAGCAACAGAGAGGCACAGATCAATTAATGTATCTGATAGGGAGGAGAAACACCATGATAATTGATTTACATGTAACTAAGAAATGATTGATGTAATGTCTTTGGTAATTCCAGTATCTAGTTAAGTGTTAACCACCTATTAAAGTTTTTTACTGCTTTGTTTTGCACAATGTGATCAACTGGAGAAGAAGACCTGAACAGATGGGTTTAAATGTCTATTTTCTTTTTGAATTTGTAAATTTCCAGTCATTGTTTTAAAGAGCACCCATTTTGATTTTATATTGTTTATTATGAAAATCTATTGTGTGAATCAGAGGAAATGCAAACAAACTGTCATTTAGATATACACTGCTCAAAAAAATAAAGGGAACACTAAAATAACACATCCTACATCTGAATGAATGAAATAATCTTATTAAATACTTTTTTCTTTACATAGTTGAATGTGCTGACAACAAAATCACACAAAAATGATCAATGGAAATCAAATGTATCAACCCATGGAGGTCTGGATTTGGAGTCACCCTCAAAATTAAAGTGGAAAACCACACTACAGGCTAATCCAACTTTGATGTAATGTCCTTAAAACAAGTCAAAATGAGGCTCAGTAGTGTGTGTGGCCTCCACGTGCCTGTATGACCTCCCTACAACGCCTGGGCATGCTCCTGATGAGGTGGCGGATGGTCTCCTGAGGGATCTCCTCCCAGACCTGGACTAAAGCATCCGCCAACTCCTGGACAGTCTGTGGTGCAACGTGGCGTTGGTGGATGGAGCGAGACATGATGTCCCAGATGTGCTCAATTGGATTCAGGTCTGGGGAACGGGCGGTCCATAGCATCAATGCCTTCCTCTTGCAGGAACTGCTGACACACTCCAGCCACATGAGGTCTAGCATTGTCTTGCATTAGGAGGAACCCAGGGCCAACCGCACCAGCATATGGTCTCACAAGGGGTCTGAGGATCTCATCTCGGTACCTAATGGCAGTCAGGCTACCTCTAGCAAGCACATGGAGGGCTGTGCGGCCCCCCAAAGAAATGCCACCCCACACCATGACTGACCCACCGCCAAACCGGTCATGCTGGAGGATGTTGCGGGCAGCAGAACGTTCTCCACGGCGTCTCCAGACTCTGTCACGTCTGTCACATGTGCTCAGTGTGAACCTGCTTTCATCTGTGAAGAGCACAGGGCGCCAGTGGCGAATTTGCCAATCTTGGTGTTCTCTGGCAAATGCCAAACGTCCTGCACGGTGTTGGGCTGTAAGCACAACCCCCACCTGTGGACGTCGGGCCCTCATACCACCCTCATGGAGTCTGTTTCTGACCGTTTGAGCAGACACATGCACATTTGTGGCCTGCTGGAGGTCATTTTGCAGGGCTCTGGCAGTGCTCCTCCTGCTCCTCCTTGCACAAAGGCGGAGGTAGCAGTCCTGCTGCTGGGTTGTTGCCCTCCTACGGCCTCCTCCACGTCTCCTGATGTACTGGCCTGTCTCCTGGTAGCGCCTCCATGATCTGGACACTACGCTGACAGACACAGCAAACCTTCTTGCCACAGCTCGCATTGATGTGCCATCCTGGATGAGCTGCACTACCTGAGCCACTTGTGTGGGTTGTAGACTCCGTCTCATGCTACCACTAGAATGAAAGCACCGCCAGCATTCAAAAGTGACCAAAACATCAGCCAGGAAGCATTGGAACTGAGAAGTGGTCTGTGGTCACCACCTGCAAAACCAGTCCTTTATTGGGGGGTGTCTTGCTAATTGCCTATAATTTCCACCTGTTGTCTATTCCATTTGCACAACAGCATGTGAAATGTATTGTCAATCAGTGTTGCTTCCTAAGTGGACAGTTTGATTTCACAGAAGTGTGATTGACTTGGAGTTACATTGTGTTGTTTAAGTGTTTCCTTAATTTTTTTGAGCAGTGTATATGTCTCCTCCTTGGCTATTGCGGAACCTCTCTTCCAACCTCTCTAGTCTATTGAGATTAAAGCAGGTTAAACTTCATTAAGGACTACCTCTTTATTCAGCTACAGCATGGAAAATGATTATGGACACGCATGATGGAACAGTGGCTTGCGAAAGTATTCATCCCCCTTGGCATTTTTCCTATTTTGTTGCCTTACAACCTGGAATTAAATTTGATTTACACAACATGCCTACCACTTTGAAGATATACATATTTTTTATTGTGAAACAAACAAGAAATAAGACCAAAAAACAGAAAACTTGAGCGTGCATAACTATTCACCCCCCCAAAGTCAATACTTTGTAGAGCCACAGTTTGCAGCAATTACAGCTGCAAGTCTCTTGGGGTATGTCTCTATAAGCTTGGCACATCTAGCCACTGGGATTTTTGCCCATTCTTCAATGCAAAACTGCTCCAGCTCCTTCAAGTTGGATGGGTTCCGCTGGTGTACAGCAATCTTTAAGTCATACCACAGATTCTCAATTGGATTGAGGTCTGGGCTTTGACTAGGCCATTCCATGACATTTAAATGTTTCCCCTTAAACCACTCAAGTGTTGCTTTAGCAGTATGCTTAGGGTCATTTTCCTGCTGGAAGGTGACCCTCCGTCCCAGTCTCAAATCTCTGGAAGACTGAAACAGGTTTCCCTCAAGAATTTCCCTGTATTTAGCACCATCCATCATTCCTTCAATTCTGACCAGTTTCTCAGTCCCTGGCGATGATGGTGTTCTCGGGGTGATGAGTGGTGTTGGGTTTGCGCCAGACATAGTGTTTTCCTTGATGGCCAGAAAGCTCAATTTTAGTCTCATCTGACCAGAATACCTTCTTCTATATGTTTGGGGAGTCTCCCACATGGCTTTTGGCAAACACCAAACGTGTTTGCTTATTTTTTTCTTTAAGCAATGGCTTTTTTTCTGGCCACTCTTCCGTAAAGCCCAGCTCTGTTGAGTGTACGGCTTAAAGTGGTCCTATGGACAGATACTCTAATCTCCACTGTGGAGCTTTGCAGCTCCTTCAGGGTTATCTTTGGTCTCTTTGTTGCCTCTCTGATTAATGCCCTCCTTGCCTGGTCCATGAGTTTTGGTGGGCGACCCTCTCTTGGCAGGTTTGTTGTGGTGCCATATTCTTTCCATTTTTTAATAATGGATTTAATGGTGCTCCGTGGGATGTTCAAAGTTTCTGATATTTTCTTTATAACCCAACCCTGATCTGTACTTCTCCACAACTTTGTCCCTGACCTGTTTGGAGAGCTCCTTGGTCTTCATGGTGCCGCTTGCTTTGTGGTGCCCCTTGCTTAAAGAGCACGCATTTTGATTTTATATCGTTTATTATGAAAATCTATTGTGTGAATCAGAGGAAATGCAATAAAAAATATGTTGCATCTTCAAAGGGGTAGGCATGTTGTGTAAATAAAATGTAATTCCAGGTTGTAAGGCAACAAATGATGAATACAAATGATGAATACCCTTCAACAAAGGGTGAATACTTTTGCAAGCCACTGTATGCATGTGTAATTGCAGGCACTGACTGAATGTGTTTCTGTAGGCCGTCATTGTAAATATGAATTTGTTCTTAACTGACTTGCCTAGTTAAATAAAGGTAAAATTAAACATAAAAAAATGACTCTGGGGCCTTTCAGAACAGGTGTATATATACTGAGATCATGTGACAGATCATTTGACACTTAGATTGCACACAGGTGGACTTTATTTAACTAATTATGTGACTTTTGAAGGTAATTGGTTGCACCAGATCTTATTTAGGGGCTTTATAGCAAAGGGGGTGAATACATATGCACGCACCACTTTTCCGTTATTTATGTTTTAGAATTTTTTGAAACAAGTTATTCTTTTCATTTCACTTCACCAATTTTGACTATTTTGTGTATGTCCATTATATGAAATCCAAATAAAAATCCATTTAAAATACAGGTTGTAATGCAACAAAATAGGATACATGCCAAGGGGGATGAATACTTTTGCAAGGCACTGTATGGGGTAGATGTGGGGTCAAATGTAAAATGATTTGAATTTTACATCCTGTCCCAACCCAGTTCCTCAGTAATAATTAAATGGCTAAATGGGTGGCTCTTATCTTCCTCAAATCTCTCTAATGGGTAGG